CGAGCTCCAAACTACCTCACCAAAGAACTAGATGATATATGGACATGACTAACTTGGTTAAACTAGTGAGCAAAGAGGAACATTAGGAGGCGTGTTAACGTCGCCTGGAGTTCTGAGGCTTTCGGTAGTGGTGGCTCCCCAAAGAAACCGCAACGTAATACTGGCTAACGCCTCTCAGTTTAGAAACCCAATTAGAACCTAGAGATAAGGAAATAATTCCGATCTTGAAGGTGTTACTGAGATTCACATTGACTCCACTTCAGCCCCCAATTTGCTGGCTATCCTATCATGGGACGCCATGATGCAATTTCTTGTCAGCAGACCTGCAGTCGCGATTACATGCGTCGAGGTCTAGATCTAGCTCTAGATATCGGCTGGGGTTTAATTTATTATCACTTGACGTATCTAGACGCTACAAGAAGCATCTCCCCCTATCGTTCATTTTTCTAAATACCATGGAAATCGAAACTACGCATAGACGTAAGCGCATAACGGACTTCTTCTTCACGTCTAAGCTAGTCAATCCCTTCCGAGATCGCTTTTCATCCGGTTCCAAGAACAGGCACTTATCTTCGCCTGCTCCCATTACGACCGAAACGAGACCCCTGGATCCATCACCCTTGGGTCAAGCTCAGAGTAGTCAATCAAGCCAAAGCCTAGGGTCATCGGTAGAGCAGTCATACGTAATTTCACAAGGCACTGACAGTCTGGCATCCTCTGGATTATCTCGTGGGGCAATCGCCCGAAGGGACAGGGTGTTCAAAGAGATTGAAGACCATTTCGCTGGAAAAGACGAAGGGAAGCCGCTCCTGATAAAACGGAAGCTATTATACACAGAATATAGATCACTGTGTAAGTTGATATCAGAGTCAACTGACAAGAAATTTCGTGATTACTTCAACCAACAACTTCGGTATGATTCCTTCGCATATTAAAATGCAGATCGTATCAAGTAACATGACGCTAGTTATGACTATGGACGTTACGAAAAAGACGAGCAATTCGTAATACGGATGTCGTCTCCCTATCATGATTGCATGGCAGGTTCAATCAATACGCATATAACCGACTGGCTGAAAGACGTCAGGGAAAAGCAGAGTTTGTATAAAGGGAAAATATGCAAAGATCAAGAAACCATCGACGTCGCCAAAAAAATCAAAGCTACTTTGGGTTCAAGAGTGAACCTTTCTCGTGACACAGGTGATCCAGCTGGTGATAAGAAGTATCCCGACCTATCTTTTAGGTTCAAGGATCCCGAAACCATAGGTCCGGGTCTGGTAGTGGAGGTAGCGTGGTCACAGCGAGATTTGAATCTACCGAGGATCGCTAGGAACTATATAGAGAAGACGAATGGCAGGGTTCGAACCGTTATTGGGATACAATTATATGATATTTATAAGTCCAGGCGGATCGGAGGGCTTTATACTGGCACTGCGACATTTTCTATATGGAAAGCGGAGTACCATTCCAGTGGTAATGTAGTTACAAACTGCACAGTTCAGGATCAGGTAAATCATTTGCCTCTATAAAAGTTGGCCGACTGACTTTAAGCGGTAGGCCTTCCGAGACGCGGATGGAAATCCCAATCCCGGCGGGACGATACGTCTATCATTACGGGATTTTATTTACGAAAAGACCGCGGAGAAGATCAAGGCATTCCAGAGTCCAGACCTGATTATAAGCCCGGAAAAACTCAGCGAGTTCTTCGTTGACGCTCTGGAGCAAGGCCAAGCTGAAGAAACAAATAACAAAGGAATTAAGGCAAATACGGAAAACGAGAACGTAGCAGAGCAGGTCGCGGTGCCTACGCACGACGCAGCAGCGCAATCTCAAGTCGCACCCGAAAATCCAGCACCGCAGATAGTTCAAGAGACTGAGACAGCTCAACCAGCACCAAACCCAGCTAGATACGTTCGGAATATGTGGGAGAATAGATTGCGAAGAAGGCAGCATAGTATCCATTAGAACGCGGTATAGCCCACAGCATCATAATGAATAGCCTCGACTCTCTGGTCAGGTACTTATATTCTTCTTTAAGGGTTAGCTTGAAATTGGTCTCTTAGACAACTGGTTACTATTCTTATTACACCCGCAGATATTAGCACCTTATCTAGTGACTTTAACATAACGAAGCTGATGAACTGCACTTTACTTGTTCGTTATCAATCGCTGATTATGGATTCACAATCTTGGGTACATTAATACAGGCAATTACCTAGGCTGCTAGAAATGACTCTATATGCTTCATGTACGTCTCCCGCTGATCGACATGTGAGAAATGCGCAGCATTATCTATTTTAACCCATTTAACCTTGTTGATCTCGTCGAAGAATGGCTGCATCGTGACATCCTGTGCTTCGTCTTGTACCCCATTGATCAAGAGTGTCGGCACCTTGATTTTGTGCAGCAACGGAATACACGTCCAGTCGCGAAGGGAGCCGGAGACGTACAACTCGCTTGGACCGTACCTTTCTACGCGGTTAGTCGAATTGTTTAATAGATTGAACGTACTAGGTTAGAGCTTGCATTGTGCCGTATGTCGTGGTGTCTTTGGTAAACCAGTCAAGAGCAGCCTGGACCTCGGGTGCCGGCCACGGCCTCGCGAGGCTCAAATGTCGCTTATAGAAGACTTCCACGGCCGCCTCATATTCCGGAGTTTCGAATTCCTTTCTTTTCTCTGCGCGGTCAAGGACCTCCTGGACATCCTTGGGGAGCTGCTTTTTCAGCGTGTCAATACCTTCTCGCCACGTATTCATACTAGCCAGACTATTGGAGATGACTAGGCGTCGGAGGTTCCCTGAACTCGTCGGCGTTGACGCCCACTCCGCAGCAAGCATGCCGCCCCACGAATGTCCATAAACGTCAACCGGTCGCGAAGTGAGCTTCAGCTTGGTGATAAGATTATTAAGCTCATTCTTAAATAAATCCACGGACCAAAAGGCCTCGTCGCCGTTTTTCTCGGGCAAATGGGTTGAGCGACCGTTGCCGATTTGGTCGTAAAAGATGAGCGGCCTAGAGGAAGAAAGATCGGTTAATGGCAGCAGGTAATCGTGGCATGCACCCGGTCCTCCGTGTAAGATAATTAGAGGAGGGGTGGATGATTCAAGATCGCCGACAATCTTGTACCAGGTATAGCAAGGCTCAGAGAGGCCAGGAACGTCAAATTGCACAGTGCCCTCGGCCATTTTTTAATCTAACATGACGATAATTCTATACTTTACTAATTGAAAAACTCGCTTATAGTATGGTGTTTTCGTGATAATAAGTGGCGAGGATGTAAATAAGCAGTAAAATCGCTAGGAAAGCGGGGGTGTATAGAAGAAATAAGCTGCGAAGGGAATAGACGGCTATAAAGGGGGATGTTGAGAGAACCACGCGTAAGCTTAGACATAGTGTAATTACCTAGATATTGACGTGATTCCCAACAAGACGCCGTCATTTAGAATATCCAATACTGCCTTGTATGTTCTCATAACTCTCGATCAAGCCAGTCTGATAAGAGCTTTTCGCGGTTAAATGAGAGTCCCTTTAAGGGTTCCCACACTACTATGATCAAAATACTAATTTTCTTAAAGAGTTAGAAAACGGGTTTATATAGCCTCAGCTCTGCATGTTCGCCTTGTCACAGATAAGGGTCAATATAATGCCAATCACTAAAACCTCAGTTGCGAGAATGGCAATAAAATCTAAAAGTAAATAAGCAATAATCGTAAATGCTACCACAACAGTTAGGACAAAATAGAGGCCGTATACTACTAAGCGTAGTAAGTAGTCCCCTCTAGAACCCCCTAGATCCATTCTAAGAATCACGGCCACCACTATGAAAACACCGGCAATGAGGTCCGTAGCAAGGAACGGTATAAGAGGACTGAAAAAAACCGGTGTCAGTGAGCTAAAGGGCCATCGCTCCAAAGACAACTCCACCGCGTTCATCCGATGTACCAACCGTCCCTTCATCCAACCATCTCACTAGGCGATAGTATCGATCGAGGAAAGGGGGTTTCCGCGGACGAACATAGTATCGGAACTGCCTCCGGAGCGCCTCACATAGGACATCGGCTGCGGGAGCCACTTTCTCTTCCTCTAGTTCGGAGAGATATGACAGGAGGACGGTACTATTAAGGAGGTTCCCGACGAAATATGGAAAAAAAAAATCGATTCTAGTATCAACCGGTAAGCCACCGCTCCCGGTAGTGAGGTCAGAGAGTTCCTCGGAAAACACGGAAGGCATTATTCTCCACGCTTTTCGGCTCCACGTCCCGACGGCATGACTGTTAAGAGGGTCTTCATTGACGCGCCTTACCCGGCATCCGGACTTACCGCCTTGCAGAGTCTTCTCTCCATTAGGTAAGGTAGGTGTTTGGTTTCAATACTAATGGGTATTTGGTCAAGTAGTTGTGTTCGGAGTACGCCGTGAACCGACTTATTACTCGAGAGACGGGAGCTCGGGTGTGCGTTTTCCATTTAAATTACCTTAGGTAACTGTCTAAATATGTGGACGTGTGTAACTGGGTACCCAATATAGTGTCAGTTTTGAGTAATGTTGTCTTATACCTTGCGTGTTGTCTTAGTGCACCTGACAACTTCTCAGCTTCTTTCCCAAACCGGTCTCCCGTTTTCTCCTGGCCGTAGCGTTAGACTAGAATAGCTGGTTTCTTCGTGGGCTATGTCAATTATGTGTCCCGACTTTCTTACAAACAGTTCAATGTTGTTCAACCCTTGATGACAGCTAAGGGGTATCTTATTACGGCCTTGCATCGTCACTATTAATACAAAGCCGCTTGTATGACTCAAGAAAAGTCTTAGGCTATAGGTAATTTCTCCAGAGATTTGCACAGGGCAAGGGTTTTTCCATCCAGCACAGCAATATCAAAACGAAGACAATAGGGCTGAGGGGCTATATTGGCAAGATTGCAAATAGCAAACGTGAATAACGATCGGCCTGTATAGACTCTACAAGTTTATACAGTAGAATAAAATACAGATCCTGATACCTAATTCCCAGATCCAATGCCCGATGCCCCCCATCCTATATTGTACCTAGGTATAAAATTTGTCGTGCAATGAATGTCCTGCATTCAATCCATGTCATTTTATCGTTCAAATTCGATCACACGTTAAATTCCGACGTAAATAAACCCGTACTCCCCGTGACCTTAAGCGTCTTCGATTGATTTTTAAATTGTATAAATTGCCCAGTCAAAGAGCAATAGTTGTTGTTAAGCTTTAAGCCTTTCCAGGGTTAAGGCGGTCGACCTGGTAAGCAACCCATGCGTTGGTGTGGTTGTTGCAAACAAATGGACTCCCGGTAAGACTTGTTGAGATGACGGTTCCTTCATCTTTGCATTCTGGGTCACCATGTGCGCGGACTAGGTAAGATTTGTTAGAGATAATGATCACCACCTTGGTCATAAACCAAGTAGGGAAAGAATATTGACTTACAAACCCATCCGGCGCCCATATAGAGATACATGGAACTGAAAGGGTCGGGGTTGCGTTGGCAGGCACCAGTCATTGACTGAGTTACAGTTCCGACTCCCTGGTTGTTTGTTAAACAGCCTGCAGTGGAAAATGTTCTCATGTCGCCGACGTAGGGATCAAATCTTGGAAGGGGCCCTCCTTGAGCCGTAGCCGTGAGGGCAGCCATGCCAGCAAGGATGGAGGTGAAATACATTTTTAAAAATAGTAATTGAAATACTAAGTTGTTAATATGTATGGTTGACTGTCTCGTTGCGATAGGATGCTTGGGAATTCTCCTAGAAGAGAAGTTCGAGGATTTATAAAGAGTGGCAGTCTTCGTAAACCGTATAAAGAATGTCAACTTATATCATTGAGTCCGCCAGAACGGTCGAGAGTTTTAAACCCCCGCCAACGGCTCAAAGTTAAATGCTTGGAGAAGTTCGCCTTCTCTAATATTTGGATAAGAGTTCGGCTTGTGGATATATGGGTCTTGGAAAATAGCGAGCGTAGTCGTAATAGCATAGTACCACTCATGATTCCGTCATCCTCGAGTAACTATCCTTGTACGTAGTAACGATGGATATCTAAGTGAATCTTCCCCAATGTAATAGCGCATCGCTACCTAATGTAAGTGTATATCTCATATCTTAGATTACTAACCACAGAACGATAGAGTTTTTGATCGCTTTGTGTTTAACTGAGTGCTATTTACCTAGAGGATTTGTCCCGAGCGAATTGCCGCATATATAGGACGGGCGAGACCTTCTGCGAGTTGAAAATAGTAACATTAAAGTTCTTGTCCCATTAACAATATCTTTTGGATAAAGTTAGAAGAGTCAAATGTCTGGATAGAGATTACTCGTGTGACGTGATGGTTAAAGTAAAATGGACCATGCCCATAGATATATTACTAGAGCTTGACTCGGTCCTTGGGAAGAACCCATAGTAAATAACTCGAGCTGACTGAGAGCTAGACAGAATGTAGATATCCCGATACAAATTAAACATTCGACAGGCAAAGTATAGAAGATCGCTTAGAGCTTAGAGGAAATCGGACCCTAGCGGATTTGTGGATGAAGTGTAAGTGAACTTAGACAAGGCTTCAATGTAAGCGGAGGAGTTTCTGATCCGAATGTTTGGTAAGTTGATAATCGATTTAATGTTAATAATTAGATGTTAATTGATTATTAACAATTACCTATCTCTGATGTTTAAGACAGAGATTAGTTAGTTACCTTATAATAGATAGGTCCAGTATGATGTATATTCTGGTATTATTATACGACTATAAAGTTAGTAAATACCTGTGTTGGTAGTAAGTAAAAAAAAAAAAAGATCGGGATAATCAATCCCCTGTTCACATGTACTACGGTACACGTAAAATCCGTGATGTAACCTAACTCAGGTACCAATGATGTCAACGTGCCGACACCCATTAATGCAATTTCCCGATCTTAGCGCTTTCTTGCCGCCAATTTGTCCCCTGACAACATCGAGAAGGAGAAAGCTAGAAAGCGTTAGAGGGACATCGTTAATGTTAATTGGTCAAAAGGCATTGAATGTTAGTTAGGTAGGTAGATAAGGTAACTACATTAATTAGATGCTTGGAAGTTAACAGGCTTTTCGCAAACTTGTAAATCACCAACATCCAACAACATTTGAGTCTGAAGCATCATCTTCTCTTACTTCTTGGAGACAGATCTCTGATCTTTTTATCCGACGTTCTTTTTTTGTCTTTTCTGTCTCTCTTTTTTTTTTTCCCAGTAGGATGTACCATTTCGACAATTCAGCATTTTCAGTTCGTACTAATATCTTTCCGACCGATCGAGCAAGACGATAGCCACGATGCCTGGCGGATTAGAAGCATCCCGTTGGGCATCGGCCTCAAACAACTATCGCATAAACAAGTCAAACACTACCCGCCGTCGTTCTTCGCGGACATCGTCGAGTCTACCGCTGTCAACGATATCGACAAAATCGGCCTCGGTATCCGAGAATAATTCTCTTATCCCAGACAACGCAGTCGAAGACCAACCCCCGCCTGAATACGAACTTTCTCGATTCCTTAAGATCGTCGCCCGGCTCAACTGGAAAATGCCATTCCTTAAGGAGGGATATCGCATAGCCGTAGATAGTGCCGACAAACTACCATCTCAAGTAGAAGCGTGCGAGATACAATTTAAGTTGGATTTCCATGAATTTTACATGCTCATCGAGCGAGCCCTAGTCCGTTTGATGGGTATATTCGGGATCGTCGTGAAGAACCACGGGGCCGTAATTAATGGTGTCTTTACGCTATACGGTAGCTCAGAGGGCGGTCAGCATCAGTACCACGCCAACGTTCTCAGGGCGCTCGAAGACTCGAGAAACCCCCTTAGCGTAATATTTGGGGCTCCTGAAGTCCGGAAGCAGTTATTACAAGCTAAAGAGCTCCGCAACCGCTGGAAGAATATTGACGAGGCAGAACCCGGATCGCCTCCGCTCGCGCCGCTCTCGGCCTATAATCTAGAGCTTATTGTGCAGACTATCCTTTCAGCTATCGAGCGCGCTCACGCTTTCACGGTCGCATATGTCGTGGAGCGCGAAGGTAAACCCATGAATGCCTCTAGCGATACGGGGGAGAAAGACTGGGAGTTTATAGTGGATGCAATGGATTGGGAAGCCGTTTGATTAACTTTTATCTCAAGGGCATAGGTATTGACGCATTAGCATGACGAGTCATTATTTGGATTCTCCCTTCTTGTTTCTTCCGATCATGGGTCCTAGGCAGACAGTTATTGGCGTTTAGGTTGAGGATAGAATTACGGCATGATACCCGAACCTATAGGATTAAAGGTACCTTTATGGCTCAGCAGGATTTTTCTTTGTACACTCACATCTTTTATTCTTTTTTGCGTTACCTCAAGTTCAACCACTCGAACCTAATAAATCATACTTATTATTCCTACTTAACTAGGTACCTAAAGCATAGTTAACGATATAGTAACTACATAGTTAGTTAGGATTACCTTGATATCTGCTTATTCCTTCTCGTGACCATAACACGATCCAATAGTTTGTTTCGCTTTGTCGAATGAGGAACTTAGCATTTAGAACGTGACGCGAAAGCCTCGAATTAAATCCGGGGATATGGTACATTAGCATCAAGGGTCTTCTTGTAGGGCTGTGGATTACAGGTAAAGTTAAACCAATGAAAGTGCTACGAAGTGCTATGAAGTGCTATGAGCTCGCTCTCAAACCCGTTCCCTCCCCTCCACTAACGTCAGAGGGCCCCACTCCTCTTACTCTTAAACGCGATAAGGTTGATAAAGCATCTACGTCGTGTGGTACAGACCCCCTTCAAAGACCCTTGAGCTTCAATCTTATCTTATCCAATACATAAATAAGTCCAATGATATCCTTTCATATTCTTACCTTTCATCATTATCTCCAATATCCATAATAGCTCTATCAGGAGCTTTCCTACAATATGGCGCCTTCTACTACATCTCTGCGCTCTATATTCGCTTATGCGAACAACTTCGTTTCCCAGTTTCCGCTTAATCTTCCAACCCTTCCGAACCCGTTAGCGATTCTCGGCCCGCAAGCTCCCATCAATACCGATAACTCCGTAACGCCCTACGATCCTCTCACAGGCACACCAACATGTCCTATCAATGGACCTATAAGCTGTCACAATACATCCGTCGCCGATTCCTGCTGCTTTATCCACCCCGGTGGACGTCTACTACTCACGCAGTTCTGGGACGAGAAAGTCCACGTCGGAGGAAGCGAAGAAGACTGGACCCTACATGGACTATGGTTAGCTTGATAATCTCGAATGATTAGTGTGTATGTGTGTTTGCGGCTGGCTAATGACTCCTGTCTTATCGCAGGCCGGATCTTTGCGATGGATCCTACGACCAATACTGTGGGATGGCGCCCCAGTTTAATAACATCAGCAAAGTACTAGAGCACTACGACCAGGCTGATTTACTCGAGAATATGAATCGTTATTGGATTGCCAACTAGTAAGTCTTCTAGAAACAACTACCTAATCCACGATGAATCAAGGAGCGCCCCGCAGCACAATTAAAAAAAGACAAATGCTAACAGGTAGACGAAGTGGCACGAATGACCACCTATGGGCGCACGAGTACAACAAGCACGCTACGTGTATTAACACTCTCGCGCCGAACTGCTACGGCGAAAACTACACCCCGGGCCTCGAAGTCGTTGACTACTTCGTGCGCGCGTTTAGCTTGTTTAAGATGCTCGATACCTACTGGGCCTTGGCGAACGTCGGGATCGAACCCAACTACAAGAAGACGTACCCCTTAGCCCAGATACAGTCCACGCTCGAGGATTTCAGCGGCGGTCGGGTCATCCTCAAGTGCACGGGAAGACACCACAACGTCCTTCATGAGGCTTGGTATGTGTACTTCGTGAAGGGCAGCTTGCAGAGCGGCGACTTCGTGCCGGCGAAGGATAGCTTCAAGGGTAGCGAGGGCAACTGCGCGTCTCACGTGAGATATCTGCCCAAGCGTCATAAGTGAAGTGCAAAGCCGCATTGCATTATTAGTCGTTTGAATACCTAAGCATTCATCATTTCTCGTTCGGCGTTTGTGGTTTGGGTATACGGATATCCTGGATAATCTTGGTTAATGCATGGAAACCGGTCCAATATTCTTAGCCAATATCCATTAGGTTAAGATGGTAGTGATGTGGTTTGTACCCATATGTCAAGCATCTAGAATTCATTTTGAATATACTCAATGTAGTCTCGCTAGGAAAGGGACTCAGTATGTACCTATGGATCACACATCATGTGGTATGCCACCACTACTGCACTCAGCACTTGAAGCAGGACAACTATACCAATTCGAGCACAGGTAAACCTTATCACGTTGCCAAAAGCTGCGAAGCCTCTCAAGTCGGGGCGCAGTTTAAGGTTTGTGCCTATTCTGGCAGAAGTTAGTTTGCAAAGACTCCCTTAAGACGGGTCTAGGTGGTTATTCTGATAACCTTAAATGCTAGTCGCTTGATATAAGATATTATAGGTGTTCTAGAACTTGTTGCTATACAAGACCCTCATACGTACTATGCTAAGTCGACAGCCCAACTGTAGATCTATATAGGCTCTTCGGATCAGCTGTCTTTAGTCTTTTGGCTTGGCCTGGACTTGCAAATATACTGGATTATCACCTGATACTATCTCAAACTCGAATCAATACGATTCCAACTAGACGGTACACTAGAGGCAATCGAGGAGGATTGACCGCTAAATGATTGATGCTAATACGACGGAAAATAGTTATTACACGGAAGTCGGC